TGTGAGTTTAAGTCAGCACTTGCATTTAGTTCGGTAGAATGAAATGTCCTTATTACTTTTTATCCACGGGACCCGCGTTGTGGGTGGCGCTGGTATACGTCTAGCAATCGCGCCCTGCTTCACACCACAGTCATGTTAAAAACATCACTGTATTGACTCAACCATAAAAGATCCATCAGCTTGACGACAAGATCCATAATTCAGCTTAATGCTTTCCGTCATCGAAATACGCCTTTGTTATTGTAAGAGGTTAGCGACCCCTGGTGGTGAAACATCCTACATATTGTACCTTTAACCTCAGGAATTCAAACTACACAAAATGCATTTGAAAAAATCTAAATCACTTGTAATGAAAAAATAATTTTAAAAAGTGGTTCAAATATTTTTTCTTTGGTCATGTCTGAAAATGGAAAAAAAAAACTTTGGGGAAAAAATAAATGTGTATTTCTTGCAGCTAATGATGCAGGAGAGACTCCTCTGGATCTGGCGCAGCGTCTCAGACACTCAAAATGCGAGGAGCTGGTGTGTATATTTGTTATCTTGCGTGCAGCTTGCAATGCCAGCAGAAATTCATTTTGCTCTCTTTCTTGAGAGCAAGTTCCTGGCCTTGCCTGAGATTGTGTTCAAGCAAATTCCTTTCCAATGTGTTCTTCTGTGTTGTGTGATTTACAGCTGACCCAGGCGGAGACAGGGAAGTTCAATGTCCACGTGCATGTGGAGTCTGACTGGCGACTGCATAATGACGACCTAGACGAGAGCGAGGATGAGATGGAAGACAAGGTTAACATGCTATTTAATCGTGTACTCAAAAGATCACTTTTAATTCAGTTATACTATCTTTAAAGGGATAATTCACCCCAAAAGTTCTCATCATTTACTCACCCTCAAGTTGTTCCAAACCTCTATGAATTTATGTATAAAAAACTTAAATTTGATGTGACCATACTAAGTGAGACATAGTCAATTCATAGTTGAATCATAATTCAATTCACAGATGTTAATGTGAATATTGGTACGGTCTGGCTCATCCTTATGTTTTTGATTGTGGGTTTTAGCCCATTCCCAACAGGCGTGAGGAGCGTCCAGTAAGCTGTATTGTCCCAGGCAGTGGCCCCATGATGCCCAACATGAGCGCTCTGGCACGGGACGTGGCTAACGTGGTTAATAGCAAGCAGAGGTCTTTTATTCCTAGCATGATTTGCAATGAGACTTACGGCACCATGCTTGATATTAGCCCATCGCCATTGGGTTTACCTGGTATTCCTCTTCTACCCCCTCGTACCTTAGGAAGAGGTGAGTAGAATTTAGACCTAGTTATTTTCTGCTAGTAAATTCTGATTTAGTACTTTAGTAAGTTTTAATACTTGTGCCTTGCCTACAAATGTAGATTAAGTAAACAATTGCATATATTATGTGTGTTTGTGATGTCAGGGTGGAATCCTCCCATGGAGACGGCCGGGAGGCAGAGATCATGTTCAGACCCTTCAAACCCTCAGAATCCAGAAAATAACAACTCAGTATATGGTGAGTCTGACCTCTATACAAAACTATACAAAACTCTTATGTTCGCCAAGGCTACATTTATCTGATCAAAGATACAATAAAATATAAACATTGGTAAGATATTATTACAATTTTGAATAACATTTTTATATGTTAATATTTTTTTAATGTAATTTATTCCTGTGATTGCAACATTTCAGCATCATTTATCCAGTCCTCAGTGTCACATGATCCTTCAGAAATCATTTTAATATGCTGATTTTTGGACATTTCTTATTATTACCATTGTTGAAAACAGGTGCTGTTTAATATTTTTGTGGAAACCCTAATAAAAAAATGTCAGGAGCCTTTGATGAATAGAAAGCATTTATTTAAAATAGAAATCTTTTGTAAGTGTCTGTACTGTCAGTTTGATCAATTTAATTTGTTCTTGCTGAATAAAAAGTATTCTTTTCTTTAAGAAAATCTTAATGACTTCAAATGTTTTTTTTTGGTAACACTTTAAAAAAAATGTAAGGTAAGATTTACATTAAGATAAACTTAAAAAATTAACAATACTTCTACTTCATTTATTAACAATAGTTAATGTTAATCTCAACATTACTACATTTTAAAAAAACAAAAGATGTATCTGTGAACATTAGTTAATGCACTGTGAACTAACATTACTATTTTTATTTACTAACACTGACAAAGGGTAGTAAATTGCTGTAAAAAATATATTTGTTAATTTATGCACAAACTAATGTTAACAAATGAGACCTTATTGTAAAGTGTGACTGTTTTTTTTTTTACATGGTAGCTAGTTTGTTGCTCCATAATGCTCCACCAGATCTACTGGCTTGTCAACTAATTAAAACCACCTTAGACCAACTAGAAACCAGCTACAATGATCCAAAACCAGGCAGAAGCATAAGTCATTACCATAACAGGTCTTGTCTCTCCTGTAGTTCTCCCCCCTGCTCCGCCACCTCCTCCTGCAGCCAAGAGACCACCGCCTCCAGATCCAAAGGCAACTCTTCTCCAAGGGCCTCCGGTTCCACCTGCACCCTCCGCACCCCCAGTTAGACCAGCTTCCATAGTGCCACCTGCTCCAGTGTTGCCCACTTCATTTTCAAATAAACCCCCACCTCCACCTATACCCTCACAGCCAAAAGCCCCTGCCCCTAAAACAGTGAAATCCCCTGCTCGGTAAGTAACATTCATCAGATTCTGTGTATCTTTAAAGAGATTTGTTAGCATTGTCTGAATGATGTCAGCCGCACTGTTTTGTGTTTTTCTCAGGGATCCTGTTGGTCCATTTAGTAAAGACGTAAATGTAAATAAACCTTCACCCAGTGTCCCCCGACCAAGTGACAAAACAGGTTAATATAATAATATTTATATAAATGATAAATACCCAAAATAGCCAAAAAATTAATGATATGTTAGATGGAAATAAGTCTAAATGGTGATTTCCAATAGAACTGTTTCCTCCAAACTCCGGACCGCCATCTGTCTCCGCACCAGCTCCTGTTCCTGCTCCCAAACCCAGAACGGCCCCACCTGTAAGTGACCGTTTAAGTATTGAAATGACCCATTTTACCTTTAAAATGTCTCTATCTTTTATCTATCTATTTTGCTGATTTGGTGCTCAAGAAACATTTCTTATTATTAAATTGAAAACAGTTGAAAACTCATTTTTTTTGTGTGTGGAAACTGTTAAAAGTTTTTTTTTTTTTCCAGGATTCTTTGTTGAATAGGAAGTTCTATATCTAATTAACAGCATTTATTAGAAATAGAAAGCTTTGGTAACATTATAAATCTCTTTACTGTCACTTCTGATCAATTGAATGTATTCTTGCTCTATTAATTTCTTTGAAAAAAATCCTACCCAAATTTATTTTAAGGTTTAAATTATTATTATAAAAAAATATTTAAAATATTAATAATCCCCCAAAATATTTTTACATTTAAGCCAAATTAAAACCAAGCGGCATCTGAAAACATGAAAAGAGTTTGTTCTATCTTTCTTTAAAATAAATGTTACTTGATATTTTGTTAAAATTCATTTTAGCTGTGATGTAAGTGTCAAAACTAAAACATTTGCTTTGTATTTGTTTCAGAAACCGAGACCTAAGAGGGTAAAGGCCATATATAACTGCCAGGCTGATAACGTAGATGAACTGACCTTCTCAGAAGGAGAGGTGATAATAGTAGATGGAGAGGAGGACAAGGAGTGGTGGGTGAGTATAAAGTCATACTTACACAGTACATGCACAGATCAACTGACTGAATCATGTGTGATCTTGATGGGCTCTTCCTCGTTTCCGGCAGGTGGGCCACATTGATGGGGAGCCGACCAGGAAGGGCGCTTTTCCTGTCGCGTTTGTTCACTTCATCACTGAATGATGTCATACACTGGTGTCTTAGTAAGATCACATGCACAGACTTTTCATAACAGAAACCACTGATTATTTAACAATGGATTCGCCAGTTCTTTCTGGCTGAATGGTGGTGTACAGGACATTTAAAAACAAAAGACCTCAGAAAAGGATTCTTTTTTGTTTTTTAGCAATTATTCTGATTACAAGTGTAATTACCTCTAACTTTAATGCAGAAATATCGTATGAATGAGTACTATGCATATTACGGGAACCGTATGTTTTTATAAGGTATTATATGTTCCAATCCCTAATCTTATCTTTATTGAGCTTTTTGTCTATATAAGATATCAGTTGCAGAGCAACTCTTATTTTGCATAATTAAGTGACATGTTAAACCATGTTGCTTGTATACAAGTTTGTTCTGTTACCAAACAAGCCATTAAACCTTTTACTCTGTACATTTAAAAGACTGGTTTTATTGTCAGCACTTGAGATATATTTTTACAAAAATAACTGACAAAAATGGCAAAGTAGTGGCTTTGAAACAGCTCCCTGTAATGTTATACAATTGAATAGTTACACTACCATTGAAAAGTTGAAACTGTTTTCTAATTTCATCCATTTTAAAATGTTAATTTATTCCTGTGATGGCAAAACTGAATTTTCAGCATCACCTTTTTTCAAAAGAACATAATTTTGTTTTTTTAAATTAGAAATATTTTGCAGCATTATAAATATCCTTTCTGTGACTTTTGATCAATTTAAAGGTGCAATTGGTGATTCTCTACAGAATTTTTTATGCTGGTTCATATCCTGATAGCAATTACTATCTTACTGTTTTTCTGAATCGCTAAACACTAAATCCCATTCTCTGAACCAAATTCTCAATCACTCTTATAAATCACTCTTTCTGTAAAACATTAAACACGTTCAGGTAGTTAAAACACTGTTTGCAAATCTCATGCACTCTTTTTTCAAAACTCTAAACACATTCTCACTCACTAAAACAGCCTCTGTAATGTGTCCTTTAAAAAAACGTGTTTCTTTACAAAGAAATTCTTGCCCTCAAACTTATGAATCATAGTGTACATTTACAAAACACTATTTCTCTATAAACAAGGAAACAAAGGGTCCAAGATCCATCAAAGAATTTATTAATTTACAGCATTATCAAATGGTCCAAGAAACAATTTACCATTTTCAAAATACAACCTTCAAGTTTCCTCATAGTTTTAGAAAAACAAAATACTTTCAAATGTTCAAAATACTCATCCATATATTTACAAACCAAAAGTCTTCACAATAGACGTCTTAAACCCAAGGAGATTGAATATATGCACAGTGGTCTCTCCAAAAAGGCCAACAAAGTCTATTATAAGGGGATAGAAGCAAAGGCTCTTCTTTGAGGTCCTTATGCACTCTGTACAGCTGCTATAGTACTTGAAACATCTGTAAAATAAAAAAAATAAATAAAACAATGTTTTCAGTCAATGAATCTACAGCCTGATTCAATGCAACAGCAACTGCTGCAGGTTCAGGAACTAAACAATAATTATGTCCCAAGAGGTCCACAGGTGCAGGATCCTCAAAGCGTTCAATTTTGCAGTGGTTCTGAAGCAGAGAAGTTGTTCCACTGGAATAAGGTGGGTACAGCATCTTTCTTCAGCCTACGACGCCCTTTAGGAGTCGATGGCTCAATCATATCATCGCTCTTAAAATGGCGACTGCAGACTCTTGTATGGGAATTGTGGCTAAGATCCTCACGGCGAATGTTGCGTATCCACTTTTTCCGTCTTTCTTCATCCACAGTGAAAGTGTGAAAGCTCAGCACAGAGTTGAACTTTGCGGAAGCCGAACACAACGGGACACAACAATATTCGGCCACTGAACTGTCTCCCCGCCGTTGATATTTAAACTTTCTGGATGCCTTTACTACAATGAGATATCATATATATACTGCGTCTAATATATATCAATTGCATAATCAGGTCTTAAATGTTAATCTTTACAAAATAACAATCTACACACATTGAGCTTAAATGATTTACTGCGGCAAATATTGTTTAATATATTGATGTTTGTGGACTGAACTTACACAATCTAAAAAATTAGATAAAGACAATTTTATTCTTCAACATCTACACTAGCACTCAAAAGTTTAGGTTCGTAAGATTTTGTTTTATGTTTTGGAGAGATGCTTCTTATGCTCACCAAGTCTGCATTTATTTAATAAAAAAAATACAGTAAAAGCAGTAATATTGTGAAATGTCACAACAATTTGCAAAACAACTGTTTTCTATTTATTGTATTTTAAAATGTAATTCAGTCCTGTAATGGCAAAGCTGAATTTTTAGTCTTCAGTTTCACAAGATCCTTCAGAAATCCTTCTAATATGCTGATTTGGTGCTTAAGAAATATTTCTTATTAATATCAATGTTATGTAAAATGAAATATTTGAAAACCATGATATTTTTTCACAGCAGTAATTTGACAGAAATCTTTAGTAACATTATAAATGTTTTTACTGTGATAAATGTTTTTGTGCATCCTTTTTTTTTCTTAAAAAAAGTATTATTTCTTTTAAAAAAAATCTTACTGACCCAAAACTTTTGAACTGTAGTGTAAGTGATCGGAGTGATCAGCACTGAGATTCTGAGTGTAGAAAACAAGGCTATACAGTTAACCTGATATAAGTGGTTGTGTGTGTATCCGGCTCTCCTCTAGCGTTAGAAAGTAGGCTGGTTTGACAAGCTGCGATTCTGTGTTAGCTGGATCCACAGCATCATTCGGGCCCTCAGTCTCACAGGTCAGTATATGGATGGGGCCCCGGGAGCCTTTCAAGTGGATCTGGATAGATTCCTAGAGAGACATAAACATGTCTCAAACAAGTTTATATATATATATATATATATAATATATACACACACACACCACCATATAGTTACTTTTTGTGTTATTAAATAAAAGAACAAAAATAACAATCAATATTCAAAAAATATTCCAAATAACAATCAACAGAACAAATACAAAATAAAAAAATAAAACATGTTTTAAGCTTGTCATGTACAATAGGTCTATTTAACGCTAGCATTCAAGTAAGAAATACTACAGAATTTGAATAATCAAATGTGGAAATAAAACTGTCTTTAATGTATGAATTAATAAGACATTTACTGTTATTTAGGATACTTAAGTTATTAATTAAGTCAAGATCAGTGAGTGATTGGTTTTCTCTTTCTTGTGTTGTCTGATTAAAATGAATGCGAGTACAGCAGCAGGTATATTATGCTGCTACAACTTGCTCGGATCAAATATATATATATATATATTTTTATATAATATATTATATACACTTTTTTTATATTAAGACTCCAAAACTGCTCAGGGCCTTCCAGCTTACTTCAGTGGGAGTGGGCACCTCTAGCTTGGTCTCTTCAGGGGCCCTGACGGCTATTATAGTCTGGTCCTTGAAAACGCCAATCTTACAGATGTCCTCGTATGTCACATAAGCTGAGGTACAACTGCAGTTAAGACCAAAACAACTGAAACAAGTACTATAAGGACTGTTAGACATGCAGTAAAATATCACAGGTTGTCAGAAAATGTGAGAGGATATTCAGCATTGTCTTTGAGGTCGGTCAGAGCAAAGAGCTGTTGGGCGCAGTCTTTGATGAGCCAGTCAAGGGCCTCCTCAGTTGACTTCAGATTAAGTAGGTCAGCTTTTGTCTTAGGGCTCCACTGGTTTCCAATGCTGCCGACTGCTCCTGGACCCCTTGGACATAGAGACAGATGCGTGAATCGTTTCCTGATGTATTAAGAGAATCAAAACTCTAGACTTGGTTCCAACTTAAACTATAAAGCCTTGTTTATCTAATCCCACAATGTGGAAATAAATGTGGAATTGTGAAAGAATGTTCGGTCTAAACTTACATCCACTGGATCTTGTTTTTGGATGTCTTTTTGATTAAATGGATACCAGTTAGCACATTGGTGATGTCATACACCCGCCTCTTTCGTGCGCCCAGTTTTTGAGTAACCTCATTGAGATCAAGGACTCCATTTGGAGCTGTGTGAATTAGCTGCATGAAACGTTTGGTCAGTTGTCCAAGAGCGACATCAGAGCGATTCTGGACTGGAATGAAAAAAATGGGACTATTGAGGGAAGCTTTTTTTAACTTTAGTCCAAGTATATTTAAATTCTATTCAGCATCAGAAAGTGAATGAATTAAAAACATATCAAAACATACCTTGTCCACTGTTTGGTTGATTCATGTTAAATGTTGGGAATGCGAAATACATGTTGGGATTGCTAATTAAACTAAAAGAAAACACATGATATATTGAATGAGCAAAATAACAAATACTGTTCCATTCCTTTCAGTAGCAGTCTTTTAATGTAGATTTACCTTCCAGTGAAACACTGTCCTTGGGTTTTATCCTTGTCCTTTTGTCCTTGGGGATCATGTGCACCACTGTGGTCTTCGTCATCATCTTCTTCTTCGTCATCATCGTCATCTTCAAACTCTTCATCATCAGAATCATCATCATAATAATCATCTGCAGTAACTCCGCTCTTTTAAGACAAGATAAAATTTCGATTTAATAACATTGGATACTTAATACGATTAATATGTATAGTAAAGACTAATAAGACCCAACTAAAAGCTTTAAACAAAGTAATATAGTTTAATAATAAAATAAAATAATATCTCTACTAGAGATAACTTGGGTTTAAACTTGGGATGAAAAGGAAAAATCCAAGAGTAAATGCAGATTTTAATTTATTTATTTTTTACTTGGTTTCACTTACACGGTAATGAATACATTTGTTATCTGTTCAGAATGGAACTGGTGGTTCATAAATATGATGATCACTGACATTTGATCATGATTTATATGAGAATTAACATTCAACCATTTAATTATAATATTTTCACAATGTGGAAGTTCTATTTGTATTGCCATGCTTTATGGAGCTTTGACCAATAAATCATCAAAGTATTTTTGGCTAGTGTAAATAGTCAACTCTTGACCCATCAATCTCAAAAGTACGTTGATACATTATCATAATTGTTACCATTAAAATTAAATGAGATAAATTCTCTAATACTTAAAATAAATAATTTCCACCATGAAGTCAAGCTGTAATAATAATAATAATAAAATACTGAATGACTTTTATAAATCAATAGCTGATTGTCAGAAGATGCATCCCACCCTTCTCACCTCCCCAACTGTGTCCAGGTGCTCGTCCTGCTCATCACACGAGCTCCACCCGCAGACTGGTCCATCTAATGGGGGCATTACAGGAATCGCGTCTGGACTGATGCCGTTCGGCGTGATGTGATGGCTCAGGAAATGATCCTCGCATATCTGATGCTGATCGGTGATTTCGCGCTCAGTCTCCCGTAAAGCGGCCAGCCACACTTTCACTCGGGCCTTGTCTTTGGGGAACCTAAAAAATCTCTTGCGCGACCGACTCGATTGCTCTCCCGGTCTGAGATCACTATTGTTTATGCATCCTTGGACTGCACACTTCACCATCGTCGTAACACGCAGTCAGATTATATCGCTACATTCAACCAGATAAACGTGCAATGTTTACACACACCACAACAGGAAAAGCAAACGCTGTGCCACGTGATCACGTCTGACCAATCAAATGATTTGTTTTCTACTTCAGGTTCTAACCCTCCATTGTCTAATCGCACTAAGTGACATCTAGTGGAATGGAAGTAATAAAGCACATTTTTTTTATGTCTGATTTGTTCAAGTTTACAGAGATGTACGGGTATTTGATATAAGTGTGTGCTAGTTTTTCATATGCCATGAGAATTCAGCATTAAATAATAAGCCATTCAATAATAAAAAAATAATAATAAACAATAATAATATTTTTTTTAATAATAAACATGTATGCGTGTACTGATTGATTCGTGGAAAAAGAACTGAATCTGTTCTGGAGGTGAAAGTGTCACCGACTTATTTACATTTGAACCGTTTACAAGAAGGGTGAAATGTTATAGATAACACAATGGATATCGTATATGACAGTTTTATCAACGTATGTACGAAGCAAGGTTTGTTTTATTAAAAACATTTTATTATTTAAAAACAAACAAAAACTTTTCAGCCTTAAGAGGTATAGGCTGCATTGTAAAAGCAAATTATTAAACAAAACAAACAAAAAAGTTAATCGAAAAAGGGCTTTGAAAACGTATTATAACTATTTTTTAAGAAAATTGTAATTTGTCTAATCTATATCCACACATGTTCGTGTTCCTTGTTCTTACTATGCATGCCCAGAGCCCGTCTCTCTGCTATGCCTTTTTTTGTACTGTTTTATTTATGCAATTTAAAAAAAAAAAAATCCGTTTCGCGGAAATGAGTCGGTCGGCCTTCTACGGAGCCCCAAAAGGGACATGATGAAGAAAAAAAAATATGAGATGAAGGAGTAACTTTGCCGAGTAACTTTGCGCAGGCTCTCAATAAAGAGCTCAAAACCTCCCATCACTAAAGTGAAAACGACAAACGTCTGCTAAAAGAGAAAGAAAAAAAGAGAAAACGTCTGCTTTTCAGCCAATCAGTTCGGCCGTACGTCACGTTACGTAAATAATATTCAGGAGCCAAGCCTTCGCAGTAGTAGGATTTGTAAATCCGTATGGGGTGTTGTACTGCCGTTTTTTACCAGCAGTGGACAGCAGCAAGCAGCAACAGTCTCTCCAGAGGTGGATGTGTGGGATTGAATCAGGGCGAACTGGGCAGCCACTGTCATAGAGAACCGCACAGAACTAATACAATAGCGAAACATGGCTACTGAGACGATATCAGCCTGCACAGGATCCAGCTTACTACAGCCAATAAGCGAGATAACCAACCTTCCGTTAGATCAGGTACATTTCTGCTATTTGCATTTTATCAAATGAATACTGGAGGCACAAAACCCTCAATACAGCAGCTTTCATTGGCATCCAGGTCCTTCTACAAATCCTTAACAGGCTGTGCACGAAAACATTTGGTCAGGACAATGAAAACGTTGCATTTTTAATATTTCCTCTCGAAATTTATGACGTCTGACTGAGCAATCGCATATTTCCGTCGGATTGAGTTGATGGTGTGCTCATGAAATGTGTCATTTGCCGCGGTGATGAAATGGATGACGAACTACTCGAGGATTTGAAAATGTGGAATTTAATTCATATATAACCTAAATGAATGTAGGCATACATAAGATACAGGGGAGAAAAAAACAGTAGTCTGTGTCGGCACTTTTAAAGAAACGTCATGATGTTGCTACCCAAGGCAGTCTTTTAAAGATGTTTCTTTGTGGTTATCTCTGTTTGCACGGGGCCATATAACGTTATACTCACTCACAAATTTTGGGCTTGGCCCTTTTTATATATATATCTGTCTCCACACAAACATACACTAAAAATGGCTAAACAGACACTAAGCTTTTCATTTTTTTTTAACTACAAATTATTGGTCAGGAAATTGGAGGACTTTAAGCGAATGCACTACTTTAAAAAGCCGTTGTTGTTTCAGAAAAGCAGTTTTTGGGAGAATATGGGAAGTCGTGTGAGGGGTGATGCTACAGAGCTATGTCTTTGAAAACCTGGTGCGAAATATAATAATAAATGCATCTCTGCCACAGTGAAGCATGGAGGAAGAGGTGTCATTTTGTGGGGAGGCTTTTGGTAATCTACTTTATTGTGAAACGTCATTTAATGCATTAAAGTACTGGATAATATTGCAGTATGGCTTGCTTCCCACAAATGAAAAAAATATTCTCTAAAGAGGAAAGGTTATTTTTCAATAAGACAATGCTCCTGCCCAAATTGCAAAGACAAACAAATATTGGCTTTAAAACAAGTCCATGAGGATCATGTTTTGGCCTAGTCAAAGTCCAAATTTGAACCCTATAGTGAATAATATCTCGTCTCACATTAAGCTCAAATGAATTGGGAGACATTTTTCAACTACTCATGACTCTTCTTCTTGTGACTCTTCTTCTTGTAAAAAGCTGTCTGCAAGTTGGGAACATACTAAGTTCCTTTGTGCAGTTCTAGCTAATTTCCTGACCAGTAAAATGTGATTTAAGTGGTTAAGACTACTAAATAGTTTGCCATTTTTTGGTGTGGACAAAAATATATGAAATATATTTATATATGAAATTTTGCTGCTCATATAGATGGCCAAAAATCCTGTCTAATTATGCAGCGCACTCGATTTTGAAACGGCTATGTCACTGTATGTTCCACAGAGAATTGCAGCTTGTGTGAAAGTCGTGTTTTGAATCCGTGTTCTCTAAAATACATGATAAACAAAGTAGAATAACTGGTGAAATCACATTACATGGTCTTTTTCTCCCAGGAAATATTGGAGCAATTTATTTTTTTTAAGTGTTAGAGACAGGAAAATCTATTAGGCCTACGTAACACGCATTTACACCTTAAATGGTCTACCTTTATTGCTTTGTAAATTAGCCTGTACCAGTAGATGCAAAAAAAAGTTAAATTATAAAAATAAATACATGACCTAAGGTCAAGGACAAATGCTTGTCATGGAGGGTATGCCATATTATGAAGATAGGAGGATGGTGCTAATGATCTTTTTCACTAAAAATGTTTGACAGTGGTAACAGACCGAATGGGGCTTTTTGTTTAAAAGCATTTCAGCCATGAGTAAATAATTTGTACTTAGTTGAAACCAAATCCCATAGATATATATAATATCTAAATCTTTGTAATTTTTCTAAATCAGAATGGCCAGGACTAGTGATTTATTACATTATAGGCTATTTAATTATATATATATATAGGCTGCTATATTGATTTAGTACAGACAGTTGGAGCTTAGTAAAGATGTTTGAAGATATGGCGTTGTCTGTGCTCATATTTTTATAGCAAACAAAAGGCATACACAGTACTAACGTTCAAAAGTTTGGAGTTGGGTGAAATTTTTCAAATATTTAAATTTTTCTTATGCTCTCCAAAGCTGCATTTATTTGATCAATGCCGTTAAAACAGCCATATTGTGATGTATTATTACAATTTAAAGGGACACTTCACCCATTTGCATTAAGCTTTGTAGAGTTTGTAGCTCTTTAGAAACCCAGTCATATTTCTGAATGGTCATGGTTTATTCCCTTATTTTCCCCTGAGATGAGATGAGAGGAGTGTTTTACTTCCTGCTTATAATGACGTAAAAATTTTGTCATTTTGTGTTTTAATAAGCAGGAAGTCATATTTCATTAAAATGTGTAGTGAATACAAACATTAGTGCATTATTATTCAAGGGTGTGGGACCCAGTCACCCTACAGGCCTATTGCAGGACTTGCACCGGCAGATACTGAATCTATATATCAGCCATCTTGTTTTTGGAAGCTAAGCTAATAAACACTGTGGAGATAGGAAGTATAATAATGATGGAAGAAACTAAACATGAAATGGAAGAAGAGGATTTGAGAGTCTGCTGCTCAAATCTGATGTTCGTGGCTGTCTTTACGAGTCGCAGTATAGTGAAGAGCAGCTGAGGCTGATGGAGGAACAGGAGGCGGCTGCCTGTCGCGGTCAAAGAGCCCGGACTGGCTCGAGCTGACTCGGACTGCTGTCCATGTGCTCTCACTGTGAACTACGAACACAGATAGAGTCCGTCTGCTGCAGAGAATCTCAACAATGGCTATTTCTCCTGAACGAAATCTCTGAATCAGACGAGCACACAGACGTTTGTGTTGTGATGTGAACCATCCTAGTTTCGCCTGACTGAACATCCAGGTATCATGCAGTAATTCACCATATAGGAATAAATACAAACGAGGAGTAATTCACTAATGAGTTTGCTAATGTAACATTAACGGGGTTTGTTGTTGTAGGAAGAAGGAGGCGGGAACCGGCAAACATTTAAACATTTTAATAGTAAAATGAACAAATACAAAACGAAAGTATAAGCCAGCAGCCCCTCATTGACGACTGCTTTAACGTTACTCACAACAGAAACAAAACATCATAAAATCAGGCCTCTCTCGATCTGCCGTCGTCGCTCATTTTATGCGTTCGCTCCTCCGTGAGAGACGCGAGACCGGCGCGGTGTCTTTCATTATCACTCACGCCACCGGCCTCACGCCGTCCTCTTGCGTCCCTCGCCCTCGATCGTCCTGCTCGCCACAGCCAACTAACTAGAAATTTTGTGACAGCTGACAACTCTGGTGACAGCTAACGTTAGCCTTGTAGACGGAAGAGTGAATTCTCTGACGTGTGCGCAGTTTCAGATTAGTGGGTGTGGCTTGCGGAGCTGTGGAAAGTGGTGCATTGTGGGAGTTGTTGTCTTACATACAAATGCATCCCTTGGTTATTTTCTGTATTTTCTTCGTCAAGAGGGCAGCAAATTCAAAAATTCTTTTACATTTCGACTACATATATATATGATCCACTTAAAATAAAGATTAATGTTGAAATGGGTGAAATGCTCCTTTAAAGTTACTTAACTGTATTTAATATATTTTAATTTATTCCCGTGATGGCTAAACTGAATTTTCAGCAGCCATTACTCCAGTCTTCGGTGTCACTCACATGATCATTCAGAAATCATTCTATGCTGATTTGGTGATCAGTAAACTTTTCTTATTATTATCAGTATTGAAAACAGTTGTCACCCTGATCCCAATCTTTTTGAACGGTAGTGTAGACACTTTATATGTAGGTTTGTTTGAAAAGTCAACTCCTCTAAGGTGTCTTGTTGATGGAGAATAACTCCGAAGTGAGAACAGACTGTAATGTGAGCAGAAATTGGCTAATGTTGCACTACCACTGCCAGACACTGGACTCCTGTTACACTTGGGCCTAAAAGGGAGAAAGTCTCTAATGCATTTTGCCTCTTGTGCAGTTTGTGGTTGGTTTGAATCAGACAGTTTCCTTCTGCAACAGAATGTACCGGTAGTTAATTCTGTAATTTTTGTTTTGGACGCATTAGCTGCTGCATTCATCAAATGATAGTGCATTTCATCAGTGTTGTTGTCAGGTCACAGCAGGTCATCAGCATCAGTGTTTTAACGTTCACATCAAGAACATGCCCTTTCACAGTCGTGGATTGTTGGGTCAAAAGGTCAAAGCCTAAATAAATAAATAAAAAAAACGTCCTCAGAGTTTTGTGATCAGTTTGACTTAGGAATTCACCTTGCATTTTTTATTATTATTGACTCATCCAGGAGTATATATTTGTTTGACCAAATCCAGATGGGAAACCTGTTTTTTATGTAATTATAATTGTAAGTGTATTCCGGGTTTTTACAATATCGTGGTCATATCTGTATATCGGTCGATAAATATGACTTTTTTTATATTGTTAGTGGTATCGGTCTGAAGTTATTTTAACAGAATGTTCATAGGATAGGACTCAATATTTAATTCATCCCACTTTTTGTTAAACATAAATAAAAATGAAATTTGAAACATGTAGGCTTTTTGGTATGTTTCTTTTATTTTTTGTTACATTTGTGAAAGTTATATGCTATATTTATAAAATAAACTTTTATTTAAAAAAAAGTTGGCCTAAATTTGTTAAAATATATTTTAGTATCATGCAGTTTTCCACAAAATTTACGCAAAAATCTGGACCTTTAATATGATCATTCGCTTTTTTGTTTTGTTTTGTAATAAGCCTGTATGCCAATTATTGATTATTTGACATAGCATTAAAAAGTGATTGATATATTAGACAAAATTTGCATATTGGTGCACCCCTGGTGTGTTCAATGATCAAGGATCACAATGCATGTTAACATTTTATGGTCTGCTTAACCATTTGACTGTGAGAGGTTTCGGTTTCTTGAGCTGAATGAATGGGTGAAGTCGAAGGCAGTGTTCTCATCAAACAATGCCACAATACCTGACT